TGGCAAGGAATTATTTTCACCCTCCTTATATAAATTGGGAATGCTCCCCAAATCCTCTAGCTGATGTACTTGGAATTGCTCTTTTTTTCCATCTTCTAGGAAGGGGTGTCAGTGCTGGGGGAAAGACTTGTAGCAGGGTGTTAAGCAGGGTGGACCCAGCGTGCAGTGTCCTCGTGGCTGGACGGTTACGTGCGGTGTGTTACCTCTGCAGCCAAAGATGCTTTTCCACATCCTTTCAGATCTGCCAACCCAGCACTGAGACTCTTTCTAAGGACATGTGCTCCATCCTACATCTTTCAAAACACACTAAAAACCATTCCTTGCATGTCTGTCTTCATGGTTAATTGCTGGGAGCAAGCAATAGCTTAAGTAGATGCTCTTTAGCAGTAGTTATTTGTAGGGTCCTTGGTCCCTCTCAAACTTCAGAGTGGCGTGGCTGCGTTACCACGGGCAGTCACACGGTGAGCAACACTTTTGGCCTCATAGTGTTTGTGTCTGGAGAGAACTTTATCTTTGCCTTGCAGGCACTGCTCTGACCCCTGCACGTTAGTGTAAACTGCAAAATAACAGGAGGCTGCAAAAACTTTTATTTTCTGGGGTGACTTAGTGTACTGTTTACACATTCTCTGGTGTTATCTCTTGCAGAAATGTGAATAATTGCTTTCTAAGAAACCATCAGAGGTTCTGTTTGGCTTTTTTATCCTTCGGCACTTTTGTTGCCTTTTGGCATATCTCAGCAGTGGGACCAGTTCTGGGCTTGTCTCCTTTTCCTTGTTTTTCCCTGGTGATGTTTTGCAGATGTCTACACCTTGAAAATTCGTTTCCAAGTGGAACTAAACCAGCAGCCATCCAAAAAAGACTGTCAAGTCCCAAATCTGAAGGGAAGGACGGGTATCTCTCTTAGATAGCTGACACCATTACCTGGCTCACTTGCCTTTTTTTTTTTTAAATAAAGTTGCATGTGATCTAAGTAACTGTGGAGCAGTGGGCAGCAGCCATGTACTAAGCCAGGCTGGTCCATTTATGGTGCCAAGACATGTGGGATGCTACTTGAAAGGCTTTCAGGAGCCAAGTAGTCATAAGCGTATTTACAAGCCTTAAAGCAAATAAAAAATCCTTGTGCAGTGCAGTTAGTTCTGTTGCAAAGAAAATTGGAGATTCCAGCTCGTCCTGTTAAACACAATCCATACACTGACACAGCAGCAGAGACTTCAATTCTCTACACTTACCCATTGCAAAATGCCTGGGTAACAAACATGGACCCAGACAATTTCATGATTTTTTTCTACTCTAAGGCAGAAAACCAAAAAAGCTCACTGCTGCTTTTTCCTTGTACCTGGAGCTTGGGTTTCCACGGCTCTGTTTCTAGCAGGCTGCAACGGCTGTTGCATAGATGGATGTTACATTGCTCACATACCATGCTGTAAATGAAGAATTTGGATTTCATGCTTTCTGCTTGTCTTAAAAACAGAGGGTGCCATGTTACTGGCAGGCGATGTGCTGTCTACCCTTGCATTGTTTAAGATAATACCATCTGTCCAACCCAGCCGTGCCCAGAATGGAGCTAACCAGCCAAGGGAGTTTATAGTGGCAATAAAGAACAACCCTTGAAGATGCATTTGAAAACAAGCAAACTGCAGCAGTTAGCTGTAGTGACCTTGCAGTTGGAAGGCAGTGCAGCCTTAGCTAGCTCAAAGTCACACAAAGTTCCGTTGTGGGTTTCTTTTTTTTAAGCTATCTGCTGCACGTTTTCTAGAGCAAATGTGAAGTGTTTGCAGTTTCCGCCCTTGTCTCACCTCACGCAGTAAGTGATTTCAGAGATATGCACAGAGTTCAGTGTCACCAAGTATGTTCTCGGACCCTCTCTGCCAGGACAGAGCACGTAAAACGGCCTCTCCTCAGTGCCCACAGCCAGAATTTCCAGCGCAGGTTGGACCGTGCAGAAGCTGCCCTGGCATGAAGGCTCGCTGTTTCGCGGAAGGCAGAGCAGAGAACCGAACAGATGGGGAAGCCAGCTGGGACAAGGAGCTCAAGAACATAATTGCAGGGAAATTGCAAGGAATATTTTAAAGTCAAGTATACAAAAGCAACTGGGAATTTGCACACACACAAAATTGTAGGTAAGGCTTTGGTAGGAAAAAAAAATTGTAGGTAAGGCTTCAGGCTTAATGGAAAGGATAATCAGATTTGCAAAGGATGGCAGGGGAGGCACGGAGAAAGAGGCAATGGAAAACCAAACTGCTCACCAAAACCTATGCTTGTGAGAGATAAAAGAGCATGGCTTTATCAATACTTACCAAGCTATATCAGGTGGTAAAGGAAATCATAACAAACAAAAGAGTTCCAGTATATATCAGTGAAGATGGAAATGGAAGGAAAAGCAGCAATGGGCAGCGAAGGCAGGGCGGAGGTTAAAGGTACCTGGATACTCTCACAAATGGAAAAACGGCCTTCTCCCACCTTCATGGTGGACAGATCACAGATCCACATATGGAAATGAATGCTTCTTAAATAATAAAAACCCAAAGATGGATTGTGCTTAGATATGTTTTATCCCAGCCAACAAGCCCACTTAAAAGACCAGCCTGGCCAGCTCCCCAGTGACTGACTCACCAGTTCTTCAGTGGCTGAATTTCAAGATGAAGGAATCCTACAGAAAATGGAAATGTGGGCCATTTGCTAAGGAAGAAGGTGGAAAAGGAAAATGAGTGAGTAGAGGCAACTTCAGACAGGCCAAGACACAAAATGAACTATAACTAGGAAGGATTATAAAGCATATGAAGGGATCATGTTTTAAGGACAAGAGGAACAACAAGGCTAAGGAAAGATACAGCCCATTAGTGAGAGAAGGGGAAGGGAGAGGGGAGCTGTCAACAGATGTACCTGGAAATACATGAGCTGTGGATGAATAGCAGAGGAAAAATAATTCATATAAATAGATAAATACATGGAGCAGCTGTCTCCCCTGCCATGTGCTCTCATTTTTTCCTGCTGCCAGAGAGCATCGATGTTTCTTATTTATTTACTTCTAATTACTGAGATACAGACTTCCACTGATGAGATAAATGTAACTCAGGATGCTGATCTTCCCCTCCTCTTCCCTCAGGGTGTCTCCCCAGCATCTAAATCAAAGCCTTGTGAGATCACCATCTCTCCATACCCTACACCATCTCTCCAAAGGCTGTGGGCTCTCAGCCCCCTTCCCAAGCCCAGAACACAGTCAGTGCCAGGAGCAGAGGCAGGGACCAAGCTGCGTGACTGCCAGCCATTTGTCCTGCTCCGTGGGGCAACGGCACATCCAGGAAAATCTTAGAGACTAGGTCAATGGAAAAGAGAGAGTGGAGAATGAGGCGAGTGGGAGTGTGTGCTGAGAGGTCTGATGTAGGTTGTTGGCACGGATCACAAGGGCAGAACAGTTACAGCTGGTATTTTTGAGGCTGCTATTTCAATTCAGGATGATGAGACATTACCTTTTTTCCTGGCCACTAATGCAATTATTCACCTTTACCTACAAAGGAAATGCAATCCTGCACTTTACTGAATTGTGCTTACTTCTGCAAAGCAAAATCCCTTCTTACTTTTGCTGTGGTCTCTAAAAGGCATGTGCAAAATGTGGATTGTGCAGATTTGACACATATTGCATTCTTCTGTCTTCCTAGAAATAACCTGTGTCATCGCACCTTTGCTGTCTGTGCAGAGGAAAACCTGGGAGGAGAAGCTCGGCAGGACTCGGGCAATGATGCTCTCTCAGTTCAGGGAGGGGCAGAGCAATAGCACACGCAGGAAGATCTATTTGCATCATTCCCCTTGTTTAGCAAACACATCTCCAGATACCAGCAATACTGTTATCTGGCAGGAGCACTTCTCTAAAGCCCTTCAATCATCCTTAATGGCCAGAACAAGTTTTAATCAAAAATACTCTCCCAGAACAATGTTTGTTTTGACAATACAGCTCTGGTTGGCCGGCTGCACCATCTTCATGGGCTGGAGTGAGATAAAAGGGCCAGTTGCTTGGCTGGTAACTCACAGCTCTTCTCAAGGGAAACGGCGCATGGTCCAGAGGAAGGCAAAGGGAACAGATTTGCAGTTGTTAGCCCTGTACTTTCTCTGAATAGTGTGTGCTGCAAGGTGAGGAGACAGGTCTGTCTGCCGGGGAGAAGCTCCCTGTAGTAAGGAAACACCCAGTGTATCTCCCCACAGACAGAGGTAAGAGATTTGGGTTGGGACTAGTGATGTGAAACGAATGCGCAGGGCAGGGGAATGGGATTTCTCATTGTCCCAGTTCAGCTGCTGAACTGCAGCCACCCTGGGTCTCATTTCAGGAGAATTTATCGGTGTGTGTGTATTGTTCAATTTTGATAAAAAGGTATGTTCTGTTGCAGCTGTGTTTACACTGAAAAACTTGGAGTAGCTCTGGAAACTATATGTGTTACTTAACCAGACTGGAAGAGCTGGATGCTTTCATTCTGCAGACAGGAGCCCCTGCGATGGGCCTGTTTGATGCAAACCAGCAACGTAACTTAAAATTTTGAAATTATAAAGGAAAAATTATTTTGCAAATTACCTCCCTTATGCACCTGTTACATCCCTAAAGCATCACTTGGAATATCTCAATATTTTGAAAATAGCTTCCTGAAGAAGTTTCAATTTCAATTAAATAATATTGTCTGATCATACCCCACCCTGCTGCTCTGTTTTGGAACAAGAAGTGTGTTAGGAAGGAGCACAGGGGTCTCTGTAGCTCTGTCCCTGATGTGGACATCTGTGCCAGTGTGAATGCTATTTAAACCATGGTCTCAGGGTTGTGGTTAACCAGGTCCATAAGTGAACACAAGCAAATCAACAGGCACCACGGGAAAGTTTGATTTTTCTGAGATTATTTTCCTTCATTTATTTATCTATGCAATCTGCATGAGCCCTGGAGCTAAGCAAAGCACATGCTGTACATGACTGCAACGCCTCACGGCTGCCTGTTCTCCTGCTGTAGCTCTCCGGGTGCAATGGAGGACGCGTCAAGCCAGAAGTCAGGACAGGGCAAAGATGTCCTGAGCTCCCTCACACCAGGAGAGAGTCCTGCCAGCTTCAGACGTGTCAAATTGGAGGAGTATGAGCCTGCAGGCTTCAGCGCCAAGGATCTCATCCTAAAGAAAGCCAGAGAGGTCTGCACATGCAATCTTCAAACCATTGTCACCTTCTTCTGCCGGCTGTTCCCAGTGCTGGAGTGGCTTCCCCATTACAATGTCAAGACGCAGTTGCTTGGCGATGTCATATCTGGGCTCCTGGTGGGGGTGGTTGCCATCCCTCAGTCCATCTCCTACTCCCTCTTAGCTAGCCAGGATCCCATCTATGGAATCTACACCAACTTCTTCTGCAATATCATCTATGTCGCTATGGCTACTTCACACCATAACTCCGTGGGCTCCTTCGGCGTGCTGTGCCTGATGATCGGGCAGTCTGTGAACCAGCACCTCCAGCTAGCAGGGTACAGCGATGACAGCACAGGCTCTTCGCTGGTGGGCAACTCCACCTCCTCCAGTAACGGGACGGCTGGCTGCGACAGGAGCTGCTACGCCATCACTGTGGCCCTTTCCTTAAGCTTTCTGGTCGGTCTTTACCAGGTACAAATATTCACTGTTGTGCTGTTTCCTGTCTCTCCTTTCCCTGCTGGGAACTTCTCTGAGCTAAAGATCTCTAAGCTCCAGTCTTGGTTCAGACTTAAAAGTCATGAGAAACTTTTCTTGATGTGAGGAGATCCCGACACCCTTGAATCAAATGTAGTGATTTAGAAACCCCCAAACATAGCTGAATGGGGTTTTGTTTCCCCCATGTGATAGGCCATGTCCTTGGATGTGTCTGAAACATCCTTAGGATCAGACACAGCACAAGAGGAGAAGGAACTGTGAACGATCTGGAGCTGGGCTGGCTCCTGATACAGGTTAGGGCAGGTCTGGGGCTGGCAAGAACTGTCCTCGAGGACCCTGCCATCAGCAGGGGCTCCTTCAAAGGCCATGTCCCCACTGCCTGGTCCTAGCTGTCACTGAACAGCTTCAGGCTCTTTCACTGGGACAACCCAAATTCAGTGTGTCACACCGGTTTTATTCCACTGGGTGATACATGCGGGTGCTTTGATGTGGTTGCTGCCTTGAATTCCAGTGTGAACCATGTGCCCTTATTGCTTGTAAGGAGACAGTGGCAGGGACCTTGTAGACTTCTTCGTATGGCATCTCTAGCCACAGACGAGTGTTACAGGTAGGTCTCTTTAGTTCTTCCTGCCCCAGAGTAACTGCTGAAGACAAAGTCCTCTGCCTCACTGGATGCTCAGCAGAGTAGCCAGAGCTGCTAAAGCAGGAGCAAACTGATATAAATTGCCAGCCACCTCTTCCAGCCCTCCTCATCCATGCTAAAGGTATGGCTGGCTTGCTTTTCAGATTCTCCTGGGGGTTTTACAGCTGGGCTTTGTGGCTGTCTACCTGTCAGAACCTCTCCTCAGTGGCTTTGTGACCGGCTCCAGCCTCACCATTATCACCTCCCAGATGAAGTATCTCCTGGGACTGAAAATCCCTCGTCACGAAGGGGTGGGGTCCTTCATCCTGACGTGGATTGACCTTTTCAGATACATCCAGAACACCAACATCTGTGACCTTGTTACCAGTCTGGTTTCTTTGGCCGTCATAGTGCCTGTCAAAGAGCTCAATGACCGGTATAAGGAGAAGATGAAGGCCCCGTTCCCCATAGAGCTGCTGGTGGTGATTGTAGCCACGGTAATATCGCACTACTGTAACTTTGGAGAGCGGTACAAGTCTGCTGTTTGTGGAGATATCCCCACTGGTTTCAGGAAACCCACTCTACCAGATATAAACCTGTTTTCCAGCCTGGCAGTTGATGCTCTGCCCATTGCTATTATTGGCTTTGCCATGACTGTCTCCCTGGCAGAAATTTTTGGCAAAAAGCATGGCTACGCTGTCCGTGCCAACCAAGAGATGATCGCCATTGGCATGTGCAACCTCATCCCTTCTTTCTTCTACTGCTTTGCCAGCTCTGCGGCCCTGACCAAGACTCTGCTGAAGGAGTCCACAGGGACCCAGACCCAGGTCTCTGGCCTGGTCACCTCCCTGGTACTGCTGCTAGTGCTGCTGTGGATCGCCCCACTCTTCTACTCGCTGCAGACTTCCATCCTGGGGGTGGTCACCATCGTCAACCTGCGGGGGGGCCTGAGGAAATTCCGTGACACCCCCCGCATGTGGCAGATCAGCAAGCTCGACACTGTGGTGTGGTGGACAACCATGCTGTGCTCAACGCTGATCACCACGGAGATCGGGCTCCTCGTGGGCGTCTGCTTTGCTCTGCTCTGCATCATCTTCCGCACGCAGAGACCCAGGGCCACGCTCCTGGGCAAGGTCAGTGACACAGAAATCTATGAGGACCAGTCTTCTTACAAGCAGCTCAGCAGTATTGCCAACATCAAGATCTTCCGCTTTGAGTCATCCCTCTACTATGCCAACAAGGACTATTTCAAGACTGCTCTCTACCAGAAAACGGGGGTAAACCCTGTCCTGCTGGCTGCTAAGCACCAAAAGGTGGAGGCCCAGGCAAATGCAGACAAAGGCAACAGCAAGAGTTTTTTTGGCACTAGGTTTGACTGCCTGAAACCTGCCAAGAAAAGGGCCGAGAGGCCTCCAGCAGATACCCATCTTCCCTCCGTAGATATGCACACCTTAATTCTTGACTGTGGGGCAATGCAGTTTATAGACACTGCGGGTCTCTCTGCGCTAAAGGAGATACACCATGACTACAAGGAGATTGGTGTCCAGTTGCTCCTGGCCAACTGCAACCCTTCCATCCGCCACCGACTCCGAGAGGGAGGCTGGGCTGGCACGACGGACAGCGGTGGGGAGCTGGCTTTCCACAGCGTCCACCATGCAGTGCAGTTTGCTGAGCAGTGGTTCCATGCACAGCAGGAGGAGAGCAAGGAGAGGAAGGATGCGCTCCTGGACCCTGAAGAACTGAGCTTCCAAGCATCTTTGTAGACCTGTGTGTGAGGAATGATTTCTAAAGGGGATGGGCTGGGTATGTACGTGAGAGCAGTTTTAATCTTTGTGCAGCCAGAGCATAAAAAAAAAAAAAAAAACTTTGATGAACTGTCAGCAGCAGGCATGGGGCAGGATTGGGGAAGGTGTGGACTTCAGGAGAGGTGCCAACAGGCAAATAATCTGAGAGGCATTTCAAGGTTTTTCGTGTCGGTAAAGAGCCTGGATAGCTTCTAACCCTCCTGCTTTTTGGAAGGGGCTGTGGAGGGAGGAGACGCCGTGCAGGGAGAGGGGACGCCG